GCATCGCTCCCATAAAGCTGCCGGCTGTGATATAGTCGTGTCCTGGAGGAGGTTTACTGGGATAAACTCACGTGAGGTTACAGCAACAGCAGCTTCCTCCACCGTGCCTTTCCCTGTGGCCTCAGCTCTGAGGGAGCTGCTGCCCAAACCCCTGCTGAGTGCATGGGCAGCGGCTGCTGATCCACTGCCTGCGCTGGCAGCGCGGTAAGTGCAGTAATGCAAGGGAGTGTTTCGGTAACCTTAGGACAAGGGTAATAAAGCTGGATGGGATGCGCCTTGTTCCCTGGAATCCATCAAGCCCAGCTCCTCTTTCTCTTTCAGGAAAGGTCACAAAACGCCCCATTCTGCAGCATACAAGAGAACAAGGGCAGCGACCCCGCTGGCTGACTGAGCCTCTGTTTAGCTGACTTGGAGGTGGAAAGGTGTCGTTCATGGGAAGCTCATGGTGAGGTGATGGAGAGGAAAGCCAGGACCTCGCAGCAGGCAGCATCCCATCCCAGGCATCCCTTCAGCCGGGCTGAGGCTCCCAGTCCCCTCAGACCCCCACATTCCAAGCTACTGTTCCCCCATTCCAACCCTCCCAGAGCCACCAAAGCCCCGTGTGCATCACTTGGATGTGGTGTTAATACCTAAACAGGTATTAGCAGCAGGAATAACTTAGGGTTGTTGTGGAGATGCAGAGGAATTCCCATCATCTGGGGCTAAGGAGCAAGGTCCGTATTGTATAATTAAACACAGGCATCGGTCCTCCTCTGATGTGGCTGGAACTGGTGGTTTATTGATGGCGTTTACTCTTTGGAGCATGACCTGGACAAGTCTAACACCACTGTAAGGTTTCACTTCAAGGGTCTTAAAAGGAGAATACAAATATTTAATGAAGCTGCTTTTTCCAGTGATGGAATAAAGAAAAGCACAGCCACTTTGCTCTTTAGCGGCCCAAAGCAACGCTGCCATCCAGTCTCAGCACCTGCAGCACTTCACCTGAGTCAGCTCCTCCAGGCAGCTCAGGAAGGAGTCTGCAATCCCACATTCCCTGTTAAATGATGCATGTTGGAGCAGGCTGTTGCGTGCTCGGTCAGGCTCAGGTGGAATCCTGCCCTGCCCTGGTTCTGCTGCAGGCAGCCCACAGCTCCCTCCTGGGCACACACTTCGTAGGATCATGGAGTCATGGGATCAGCTCAGCTGGAAAAGACCTTCAAGTCCAACCATTCCCCAGCACTGCCAAGGCCACCCCTAACCCATGGCACTGAAGCCTCGTCTCCATGGGGTGTGAACACTTGCAGGGCCGGTGCCTGCAGCCCTGCCCTGGGCAGCCTGTTCCAATGCCTGAGCACCTCTGGGGCAGGAATTGTTCCTCAGCTCCATCTAAACCTGCCCTGGTGCAGCTTGAGGCCGGTTCCTCTGGTCCCATCCCTTGTTCCTTGGGAGCAGAGCCCAGCCCCTCCTGGCTCCATCCTCCTGTCAGGCAGTTGTAGGCAGTCATCAGGTCCCCCCTGAGCCTTCTCTTGTCTATCTGAACCCCGCAGGTCCCTCAGCCCTTTCCCATCACCCTTGTGCTCCAGGCCCTGCACCAGCTCCATTGCCCTGCTCCGGCCCCGCTCCAGCCCCTCAATGTCTCTCTTGTAGTGAGGGGCCAGAGCTGAACACAGGACTCGAGGTGCAGCCTCACCAGTGCCCAGTGCAGGGGGATTATGGAAGGATGCAGGCATGCAGATTTTGATGTTCTTGTTGTTTATATGGCATGAGTGAATCCCAACCTCTTTGGTTTGCTCCTACATAATTCAGACCAATCATTGCTCCTCCTAATGCAACATGCTCTTAACTTCACCGAGCCCTAAGGCATGGAATTCAAATTGTGTTCTGCTGCTGTGAAAATGAATGGTGTGACAGTGACAAGAGGAAGAAGGAGCTTTAAAGAGAGAGAAGAAGCCAAAGAGAAAGAAAGATAGTTGAAAGAAGGAGGAAGACAGGGAGAGGAGAAGATACAGAGCAGCAAAGTGGTTTATAACGGAAGGACTGTAATGTATTTTGACACTAACCATGTATTATTCATTCGGAACAAAAATAAACCTTATTAACCAGGAAAAACAGATCTCCCGTCTCCAGCCCACGCTGTGACAAGCAAGTGGCGGTGCTCAGGATCCTGACAGCCACCGGCCCTGCTCCGTGCTGCATCCTTCACTGTGGTCCTCATCCTGCGGAGCAGCACCCGTGCGTGCTGGGGCCGGAGCAGCGTGAGCAATCACTGGTGTTAGTCACTGAAGGGAAGATGGTTTGGCTGTTGGGGGGCCAGATAATGCATTTACATCATCTCCATGCCCCTTCTCTCTTAGTCTCTCCTCATTCTTTCGAGGCTATAAACAGCCTGGTTGCCCTGTCTGCGGCTGGCACCACGGTGATGGGCCCTGCAGTAGCAGCATTGCAAAGCCCAGAGGAAAATCAGACAGACTCAGGGCTCAGCAGGAGGGAACAGCAACAGCCGGTGTGAGAACTGAGCCAGGAATGCTCTGCTGGAGACACAATGGTCCCGCCATGAGGGCATGTGGGATTTGGGAAGCAGCAGGGTGCTGCCTTTGGACAGGGTGTGCAACACTGCTGAGGCATGGAGCCCCCCAGTACCAACCTGCCTGTACAACACATGGGATGGAGCTCAGCTCCCGATATCAAGCCAGCCCTCCCTGCCTCCTGGCAAGATTTAGAGTGGATTTTAAAGCGTTATTGCTGACTTACAAAGCTTTAAAGAATATTGGGCTCTGCACATCTTCCAAATCTACTTCCTTTTAATATCCCCGCTCAGGCTTTAAGGTCTAAGCCTGGAGATTTACGGGGCTGTCCTCTCTGTACCTCAGTCACGTGTGGCTTGTGATTCCAGCATTCATGCTCCCAGTTTTTGCAGCAGGGTCTCCATCCCGCGCTGGGGTTTTACTTCACCATGAAAAGCAAATTCATTTTCCTTTTTGCTGCTGTAAGAAGGTTCCTGGGGGCAGGAATGAGAGCGAGCGGCGCGTGGTGAGCAAGCGGCGCTGATGGAGTCGTGCCCAGCGCAGGCAGGACACCGTACTTAGGGAAGGAACCAATTACAAGCGGAGGTATTCGGTCTCTGGGAAGCTTACATTTAATTCCCCAGCCAGAGCTGCAGGGGAAGGAATTAGAACAATAATTATCAATTTGCTCTTTGTATCCAAGGGCAATTTTTAGCACTTAGAGGACAGAGTTGTTGCTGGTTTCTTTATTCCCCCTGCTCTTTGCAATCCTGATTAGCAAAATGCACATTGCTGCTGGAAATGAGCTATTTCTCTCTGTTTCCATGGAAGAGGTCTTGGGTGCCTTTTGCTTAAGTCAGAGCTGGGTTGGAAAGAGTGGGTTTGCCCATAGGGAAAGCTACAGGAGATTCCTGGGACCCATCCCATTGCGCTCCCTCCACCTCTGTGCAAAAGGCAGTGCCCCTGCTTCCTCCTCCCAGGAGCAGGCAAGGATAACAGTGAAGGATGCTCAGGGTCTGGCATCTGGAAAAGCAGCTTTGCCTGGAGCCTGCTGTTGCCAAACACTTGCCAGCAGCACACAGTGCTGTCCATGGGGTGTTTAATGCCAGGGTGTAGAGGAGAGGAGCCCTCAGCACTCCCCAGCCCTGGCCCCGCGCTGCCATCCCCATGCAGGACATTCCCTCCTCGCTGCCCTGCTCACTGGCCTCCTATTCCACCTTCCTCCACAGACTTCCTGCTGCACCGTGTATTCCCAGCGCGTTGTCTCATTATCGATTCCATTTCCTCTTAATAGCCCCCGCCATAAACCACAGCGACAATAATGAGGCCCTTTATGTTGATTGTTGATCTATGGGAATTTCCAGAACTGGCATTCTTTATTTATTCAGCAGCGTAATGGTAATTCAATATTGTAGCTGTGTAAATGAAGGCTTGGGTTTTGTTCTTCTGGCGGGGAGCTGGGCACAGCGTGGCTTTCCAAAGCAGAATTGCTCCTGAGCAGAGGAATGAGGGCAGGGACCCCTTCCACTGGAGCAGCTTGCTCCAAGCCCCTGTGTCCAACCTGGCCTTGAGCACTGCCAGGGATGGGGCAGCCACAGCTTCTCTGGGCACCCTGTGCCAGCGCCTCAGCACCCTCACAGGGAAGAGCTTCTGCCTAAGAGCTCAGCTCAGTCTCCCCTCGGGCAGGTTCAAGCCATTCCCCTTGGCCTGTCCCCGCATTCCTTTGTAAAACATCCCTCTCCAGCTCTGTGTCAGGCTTTAGTCTTGTCCTTAGTGCCCTGCACCCGTCTGCTCCCAACAGGCTTTAATTCATAGGTAATGGACACTTTCTTACAGTTATTATTTGAATACATCAGTTCCTGCTTGACCTCTCTGAGCAACTTCTTGATGGATATTCAACCTCTTTCATAAACGGAGCTTATCCTTCAGCTCGCGGGAAGGATGAAACATTAACAAGACATATAAAATGTAATTCAGCCTCTTCCCGAGCAGACTCATCCCTCGCCAGGGCTGGATGTGCCAGTGTTCCCACAGGAGCACAGCATGGAGCTGCTCTGCCCAGTGTGAGGATCCTGTGGCTGGCTTGGACGGGTGAAGGCAGCATCACCTGGCGCATCCTCTCTTGCCTGGGTCAGTGGCTACAGCAGGGCTGCTCCATTGCTGGTGCTGAGCTTTCCTTGCTTATCTCTTCCTTTTGGGTTGTTTTTCAAGCATGATAAAGCTAAAGATGTCAAAGCTGTCATGGGAAGCCTCCTGGAATAAGCCACATTATTAAAAATGCTCAGTTTAATTCAGATTGATAACTGCATTAAAGTAGCATGTTTTCCCTTCCATAATTGAGCTACACCTACGGCACTGAAGTCAAAATGATTTTAATCACCGGCAGTGTTAGGTGATGGATGCGAAATTCCCGGTGCCAATGCGAGTGCCGAGAAGCATCCACTGGAGACGCTGCTTCCTGCTCCCCCCTCCTCCGTCGCCGCCTAAGGCTGTGAGCCGGGGGTAGCTCGGGCTCACCAGCGCCTCCCAACCTGCTCGCTCTGCCCTCGTTGAGCTCCTGCGATGCTCCTCGCTGCCCTCGGCCGCTCCGTAAGGATTTGCCGGCAGCCTGGGAACCTCGCATGGGATCAGCCTCACCGGCTGGAGCCTACAACAGGAAGGGAAACCCCTCCACTGGGAGCTGGGTGCGAAGCTGGGGCTGGATCCCATTCCCAATGGACTCTCCGGGAAAGCACAGCCTCAGGTTTGCATCTACTGGATGTGTTTGGTGCCTGGATAGACAGCGTGGACACACACAAACACAGAGCACCCCGGCCCGTGACAAAAGCCAGACTCTCTTTCACTCTGACATCAGATAACCTTGACAAATTCTCTTATTAAATTTAATATCTTGGATCAATCACAGTAAAAACTTGAGGAGATGAATTATTAAAATGAAGACTCGCTTTGTAGGGTTTATGGCCATTGTGCTCCCTAAATTAAACCTGTAGGTGCTGTTATTTAAAAGAAAAGAATACTCCTGCTGTCCCTAAAGGCACGTGCATCCCTTGGGCTCCAGCCAGAGATCTCCGATAGCAGAAATCACTGCTCTTTCACACACAAGTCAAGCAGCGCTCTGCTCTCCTAAGCTGTGAATTACACCATGGGGTGATGCAGCAGGTATCTGGGGTGTTCCTCACCCCGGGATGGCCCAGGAAGGTCCCCACAGCTCCGGATGCTCCCTATGTCCCAGGGGATGCGTTGACTCCCTGGGGACATGGAGCTTGCAGGTGCTTGGGGGGTGAGAGCACCCAGGGCTTAAAAGCTTAACAGCTGAGTATGTATATACAGAAAACCTGAGGACAGAGACAGTAATTCCTCCACCCAGGAGACCTCAACATGGGGTTTAATCATTCCCAGGCTGATTCCAGTGTTTGACAATCCAGGACACAAAGTTCTGGCTTTTTTTTTTTTTTTTCCCCTCATTGTAAAAAGGCATAAAACAACTTAGATTTTAGGGTCAGCAAGCAAACAAGTGCCCAGGATCTGATGGATGCTGCACGCAGCTGACTTTGGTGGGGGAAAACACCAGCCCTGGGGGACAGCAGGAGATGGGGAGATGATGCACAGCCACTCTAAAAGAATCATGTCTGGAATTCAGGAGGCTGTGGAGATACAGCTCCATAGGCTCAGGTCCTGGCATCTTTCTGTGGGTTTTTTCCTCCTTAGATTGCAGAGAAAGACAATTAGGAGGGATCAAATCAAATGTGTTTTAAAAGAAGACACTATTAGGTGCACACAGCGCTGCCTTGTCAAGATGAGCTGCGAGGGACCAGCGGGGTTCAGGGTGGATTATGTGTTTAGAGGGATAAAGAACAAATCCAAAACTGCAGTTCTGCACAAGGGTATCAGTGTGTGAGGCAGGAGGCTGAGGGGCAGGCAGGGAATCGTAATCACCTGGTGCTGCTTTCCCTGACACTTTGCGACAGCAGTGATGGGTTGTTCTTGGAGAGGAGGCACTGGATGTGATGGGCACACTTCAGCCTCGGCTGCCCTGCAGGGGGGCAGAGCTCAGGGTGTGGGATCTCTTCCCAGCATCTTTTCCGCTCAGGAGACGTGGGTGATCTCATGAGAAGGAAGGACCAGCCCAGCTGCCGGAGCCTCCAGCTTCCAGACGACTTCACCAAAGCCAGCTCCTGCATTCCTCACCCATCGCCAAGCTCTCCGCATCCTCACACCCAGCGTTAAACTGCCAGGCTGCAGCTCTTTTCCTCCCACCTCTTCCTCTGTGTTGGTTCTTGCCATCGCAGGCTGTCAGCCCTCCTGCCCGCCGCTCCTGGGCAGTGATGGATGAGCATTCCTGCGGAGCACCTCCGGCTGGAGGCAGAGCCGTGATGGATGATGGGCTCGGCACAGGTTTCCCTGTAGCACTGGGCTGGTGGGAGCTCTGTGGGAGGCTGGAGATGTGTGAGGAGCTGCTGTCAAAGGCTTGTTTTGGCCCAGTGCTGCAAGTGATGCTCACAGGTGGCAGTGGCCAGCAGCAGCAGCCCCGACCTGGAGCTGCTTTCCTGAAGCTCTTTTCCTCCTTGGGTGCACCCTCGCAGTCCTAATGCTTGAGCTGAAACAGGAAGGGAGCCGTGGCCATGGGTAGCATCACCCCTTGGTGCTCCCGGCTCGTGGGATGGCAGGAGGAGGATGCTTTGGATAGATACTGAGCCCAAAGCTTGGCTGCCCTCCACCAGGCTGGGGAGGAACCAGCCATCCCCAGGAAACATTGTTGTTATATTGACTCCTCGGTTCCTTTGGCACCTGAAATGAATTCTGTGCTTGTTTGGCCACGCTGGGTTTTAGCCTGCGCTAACAGCAAGTCTTTGCCAACCCCAGGCACTTTAATAGCGAAAGCATTTGATTAAAAACTTTAATAGCTCCAGCATGATGGAGCAGCTTCTGTCCACATTCTATCAACTTCCTGGCTCGCAGATTTATATGCAGTGTAAACTTCCTCTGTATGAAACCATTTGTTCCCTTTCCCACATCCACAGCAGCACAGAATCCTCTTCTTCATTCCCAGGCACTGGTTTAATCACACATCTTCCCGCAGCTGCCACATGCACAGCAGCAGGTTCCAGCTGCAGGTATCTCCAGGAACAGAAGGGAATGCTGTGGCAGTGGCTGTGCACACGGGGTCTGTGGCACAGTTTTCCAAGGAACCTCAAAGAGCAGCTTTCCAGTGGAAAAGCTAACGGGGAGTCTTGTGCCATCATTAATCTCTCCTTGCGGCCAGCCCAGCTCCCACATCCAGGCTTGGCTGAGGGATATCCCATTGAGTTACATGTCCATGCCCCTCTCAGGAGCACTTTGTAGCAGCCTAAATAAACTCTTGCCACTGGCAGACCCCATAAATCCTCATTACTATTTGCCTCAACCAATCTGCCCAAGGTCTCTCCTTTCCCAAAGTGGCCATAACTCTTCTGCAGGGTCAAGGAGTGAATTGTATTTTATAGCTGATGGATACATTCCTTCCTCAGCCTCCTGTTTTTAGGCAGATGTGGTTGCTTTGTAGCAGAGGGACAGCCTGTGCCTGGCACCCAAAGCAAAGAGCTGGGGTTGTCCCATAGAAACCTGGCCAGGCTCAGTGAAGGGCTGAGGGATGGACTGGAGAGCAGGAAGGACGGGGTTGCCCAAGGAAGGACGTTTTGGCAGCCAGCATCTCTCAGCATGGAAGGGCACCAGTGGACATCTCCTCCACTCATGCTTTAATTTCACATTGCTCCTAATCCTCTTACTCCTGGGGACTTTGCAGGGGTGGATTTGGGGCTGTTTGGAGCTATAGCTTCATGCCAGGCAGGAGCGTGGGCTTTAGGCTCTGCTGTGCGACTTAACAGAGGGGTTTGTCACCCCGGAGGAAGGAGATGCCCCCCCGGATCACAGTGCAGTGGGCTGGGAGGATGCTGCCGGTGGCGGCTGGCTTGGGGGTGTGCGGGGGCCAGGCACAGAACCATAAATACCCAGCCCATGCGCATGTCGTACAGTGAAAGGGAATTGCCAATTATCTTCAGCAGCACTTTATTAGTGAGGAACAGTTTGTTCTTGCGCTCTTCTGACTGTCTGCCTTTTTTTAGATGAGAAACCACATGAAATACACTGTAAAATACCTAAAGTTCCCTTTTGGGATAATCATTCATAGTCTGTGTTCATGAATTCACATTTTGCTAAAAAAAAGGAAAAAGAGAAGCAGAGATTTGGGTAATTTATAACACTGTGCTGTTCCTCCCCGGCTGTCCTGGTGCTGGTGGATGCTGCATGGATTCAGCAGTTGGATCGCAGACTTTCCCTTCCATTGTTCCGGCTGCATGAGGCTTTTCAAATCTGAAGAACAATTAGGAAAACACATAAACCCACTTCTGAGAGCTGGAGGGAAGCACCGTATCCCGGCAATGGAGCTGCAGCATTTATACCTGTTTTGATATACTGGCCAATTAAAGATTGCCAACAGAACCAGGAGATTTGCATCAGGATGTCGTTTCCGTCGTGATAAACTGGAGTTTCCTCCCTATGCTCTAGCTGGAAGCCAGCCTCGTTTCATTTATAGTTAGACTTTGTCACTGTGTGTGTGGCTTAAAGCTTTCATCACCTGAGGACAGGAAGCGTGTTTGCATCTCCTAAGAAGATTTTGCTGCGTGCTGGTGCTCAGTCGCAGCCAGGACCACAAAAAGGCTGTTTGCTCACGGGTGACTCTTCCCTAGCAAGAGATATTTCACTTGGGACCACAGCACTTACAATGAGAACAGCTTTAGTTTGATTCCTACACACAAAGAGAAGGGCTGCTGCAAGGGGCTGCTGTCCTCCAGGAGCTGTGTTCCCAAACCAGTGCCTGGCATCACTGAGGATTATGTGATGCAGTGATTGAAGGTCTCTGTGCCTGGGTTCAGAAGATGCGCTCTCAGGGCAAAGCCGGCCTCGTCTCCCGGCTCTGCAAGGGCTCTGCCTTTCCCAAGGCAAACAGCAGGACAGCTCGCTCTGTTTGCTCTCTCGCCTGCTCACAAAATTGAATTATTATCCCCTCAATGATATTCTTAAGGTTAAGAACAAATATATGGAAGAACATGGTAGAAAATTGGTCCACTTTGGAGCCGACAGAAGAGCATAATATTTAAAGCTGTCTTAACAGTTTCTTTGGCTTAACAGAAGCATTTTTCATTTCATTAGTGCCAAGTGCACTCGTCAAGCTGTTATTTTAAGATAAGTTTCTGTGCAAAATCCAAGGATTCTGCACTTAAGGCCACACGATGAAGGCTGTGGATGCTCCAAAGGGCTGGAGGATGCTCTGCTCCCAGCGTACCCCAAGAGGCAAAGCAGGCAGCAGCAAAGCCACGGATCCCCCCTCCTAATAACGCTGTAATAAACCTGAATTAGGATTTATTGAGCCAAGTAGACGTTTCTTCAATACCTCAAGTCAATGACCCCAGTGTTGGTTTTGAGCTATTGTTCGATTTGTACTCATTGCAATTTGAAACCCTGCACCAGGATCAATCACAGGGCCCGGAACGTCGCAGGCCGGCCCTGGCCGGGAGATGGAGATTAATTAGTGGTGTTTGGTTGCAGGGTTCAGCATCTCGAGTACCCAGAGCTGCTGCATCCTGAATCCTGCCTGTGCTGTGTGACCATGGCCTGCTGGAGGAGAGCTCTGTCTCTGGCTTGACTGGGATGCAAATGGGGTATCAGCACCTTCACATCTGATAATGGCTTTAGGCAATGGCTGCACCCCGTGAGCTGACACCAGGGAGCCCCATCACTGTGGACTCTATATCCTTCTTCACTGAGTTACCAATGGGACCTGCTCTGACCCTGTTTCAGCTGTGGCTCACAGGTGCCCCATGTTCTGGCCGGTGTAACCAGGATGTGTTGTGTTAATGCTAGCTGCAGCTTGCCTTGTGTCAGAAATAAAACCCAAGAGAACCGAGGCATCACCTGTGTGACTTGGCACAGTGCTGGTCCTGTCCGAGCTTCCAGGGAGCTGTTTGTGCCAAGCAGGTAACTCAAACGATGCGCTGGGAGATGGGGATTCTTTAAAAGCAGTTATTCCAATGTATTTGTCATTCAGATTTGCACTTGAAGGTTTGGAAGTTGCTCTGGATTCCTTCTGCCTGTGAACAAATCCCCCTGATGGTGCCTCAGCAACATGTTTCCCACTGAGATTTCCCTTGCAGATGCTGTTCCCTGTTGAGTCAGTGCTTTGAAAAGGAGCTCAAGCAGGCACATACCCTCCTCCCTTCCAGCCCAGAGCCAGGCGTTTTGGATGGCTGGAGTGAGAGGGAGTGAAATGTGGGTATAAGGTGTAGGTTTGGGGGCTCAAAGAAGCCTTTGTTGGTGCTGCTTTGCTATAGACAAGTATGAGTTGTCTTTTCGGTCCTTGATAAGTGTATAGATGGTATTAAATGAAGTTGGTGGTGGCCAGTGGTGCAGCAGCTGGGCTGTGGGACCACGGTTCTGTGCTGTGGTGCCTGGCAAGGTGCTGTTCCCAAGATGCCTCTCACAAGGCGCTGTACACAGTCACTGGAGTCACCACGGAGGTGTTGGGAGCTGGGATGTCAAGAGGTATCAATGAACATCAGCTTCCATCCCGCTGTTATTAACCAGATACATCATGTGCCAGTGCAGCTGAGTGGGATCAGCGAGGGCTGGAGTTATGGGGAACAATCCGCTGCTTCCTGACACCTTCAGCCACTGCTCTTGTGCAAACAGGCCATGGATCTGCCCAGCAGAAGCCCCAGCTGATGGAAAGTGTTCATTTACAGGGGCTGGCAGGCACTGGGATGGAGCATGGCACCTCCTGGTGAGGTTTGCTCTGCAGGCAGCATTCCCTGATGGACATGGCTGCATCCCCAGTGCCAGGTTTGCTTGATCCCCTGCACCTCTGTTCTGGGATGCCGGTGACTGCACAAGAGCCTGATCTTTTTTCCTCTCAGCCCACTACAGATCTTGCAAGTCTTATAAAACATGAATTCCAGGCTAAGTTAATGCACAGGCAGGATCAGAGCCCAGAGGTGGTGTCAGTCTGAAGGACTTTATTGAAGGTTTAATATTCTCTTCACCTCTAGCTAATCTCTCAGTCACTGTGACTACGAAGAGGAGAAAACCAGGCTGAGGAGGTGATCAGCATGGTGCCTGGAGCAGCGCTAAGGCCAGGGTTCCCAGCATCTTCTGCCCCATTTCAGCATACAGGGGGAGAATTGTACAAGCCAAGACTGAAGGGACCTTAAAGCTCATCCAGTTCCAACCCCTGCCATGGGCAGGGACACCTTCCACTAGAGCAGCTTGCACCAAGCCCTGTCCAACCTGACCCTGACCATGTTGACACTCAGGTGGGTTGTGTTACCCATTTACTGCTGCAAATACCATTAGGTAAATAGTCCAATCAGGATGCATTGATTTGCTGACAACACCCACACCTCCAGCAGCTCCTGCAAGGACATACACAATGGAAATGGAACTGTGCAAAACCTGATTTGCTTAAAATAAACTGTGGAGGTTGAATTGTTTTGTGCTGGAAGAACAAACAAACAAAGGAGAGAAACGGAGTTTGAGTAATGAGCGCGGGCTTCGCGTGACACTTTTTAATATGGAATTATGGATGGCATCATCGCCGGGGAACATCCTATTTGTATTGTAAAACAAGTCCCCTTGTTTCAACAATTGCAGCGCACGCCGCAGATTCAGGTCTCAATGTGGGATTATTAATGAGGGCTCCAGCGTGCCTTTATTCTGCAGAATTCCTAATAACTCTTTAATAAATATGGAAATCCATGTCCATCCATCGCAGCGGCGTGCGCCGGTAGCGCCACGTGCTCTTCCCACCGCAGTCTTGTGGAGGTGCCAGGAGTTTCCTTTGCACAGGCACTGCCAGAGGGGCTGTTCTGGCCGGATCCAGGTTCTGCATCTTCTCCCCAGCTCTTCCCTCCTCACCTCCAGGTTTTCCTTGGCAAGGCAAACGTGGTTTCCTTCCACTCCCGAAGCGGAGCTGCCCAGCGGTGGCTCCGGCATCGCCGGGTCCAGTCAATAGGTGACACAATTATGGTTTCACTGAATTGCTCCAGCTCCAGGCAGCAAGAGGCTGACAATAGAAATAATTTGTCAGAGGGCTGTTGATGAAACCCTGCTTATTGTGAGCTGTAAATTCAGCACAGGCACTTCCACCTTTATTTCCCACCCAGGGAACAATATCCCTGTGAGCCAAACTGGGAGGGGAGGGAAGGATACACAGCCATTGCTCTGCTCCACCACGACCCCATAAAAAATTAAGGAATGGGTTTTATTCAGTAAAATAAAAGCTCTGTGGTTGCCAAAAATGAAGCACCAAATTGCTCCAGCTTAAGAGTCAGGGATGGGGCACAGTGATTTTGGATGCAGTGATTTGGAATGCAGCAGTTTGGTGCTGTGATTTGCGATGCAGATATCTGGGATACAGCGGTTTGGGATGAAGTGATTTAGGATGCAGTGGTTTGGGTTCTGTGATGTGGGATGCTATGGTTTGGGTGCAGGTCTTGGGATATTTTCCTTCCATGCTGTGCAGCCATAGTTGCCACTGGTGCCCATGGGATCTAGGAGCTGGCTCAGCATCCCTAACACCCTCCCTGCACCCATGGCTGGGCTGAGCCTTTTGCCCCAAGCTTTGCAGTTCTTCCAAATGACTGATCAATTGTTCTTTATTAGGTTTATTTCTTTCATTAGTGGTTTCTTCAATGCTTTCAATGTTTCATTAGTCTCCTCTCAAGTTTCAGTGGATTTCGAGCACTGTGTGGAAGAGGATAATTCATTTTATTAGGTCATTTATTTTCTGGGTACATTTTTAAAGGTCAATTAATCCATCTAAATGGAGGAGGGAGTAGAGAAAACCATACAGTGCTTCCTTCCACCGCTGCCAGCAGGAGCCTGCTGTTAGTGCAGTCACCCAGGGACGGAGGGAGGCACCAGCACGGTGAGTACCACGTATTGAGGTGGTGTTTGAACTGGGAATTGTGTTTCCACAAGGAGCTTTCAAGGGAATATTAACTGCTCCTTTTCTAGGGATGGAGGAAATCCATTCATTTTCAACCCGAGAGCTGGCTACTGTGCCCATCCTGGTGCCATTTGCATCCCTTGGGAGCAATTTGATTTGCACTGATGCAAACGCAATCAGGCCGGGGATGTCCATGGGTTGTTTTGGAAGGGGTTATATTCTCTTGAGACTTTATTGGCTTCACCCATCAGTAACACTGCCACTGATGAGGCAAAATACTGTCATGCAGGGACTCAAACCCATCCTTTCATAAACTCTTCCACCAAGGCAAGCGAGTTACTCTGTTCTAGGGCCGTGGCCATCATGGAAACGAGCTGCTCACCCCGCTCATGTGAATCATCCCCTTACTTTCCAAATGAGTAGAGCAGGGGCAGGGCAGGAGCGATGCCGAGGAGCACGGAGGGAGCCAAACCATCCCCATCAGAGCAAGGCGCTGCTGCATCAGGCGCTGTCACCCCTGCAGCTCCCCAGCACCATGGCTCAGCAGGAGGGCTTTGAAACACTCTGTGGACACTGCGTTGTTCCTTAGAGGGAAATGGAGACCTGCCCGCCCAGCCCAGGGAGCAAAAGCCAGAAAATCCATCTCTGCCGCCGCCTTTCCTGTTTGTGTTTACATTTTTATTGAAGCCTACAGCGTAAACCACCAATTATTTTAACTGGAAAATCCATCGAGCAGTCAGATAAAGCTTCCCTTATGAAAGGGATAGGAAAGCACGAGCAGCTTGGTGCCTCTGCTGAAGCATAAACCATGTCTTTTGCTCCAGCTGGGAAATACCTGGAGATCTTTGGAAAACCAAACCCTCCACATGCAGGAGCCGGTGAGGAGCCTGGACAGCGGCAATGCTGCAGATGGTGGGAAGATGCCACTTGGCCAAAGAAAGCCAGAAAAGAGAAGCTCACGCAGGGACTCGTGTCTTTGCTGTGTCAAAGCTGGCCAGGCTGTGTAAGGCAGGGAGATTCCCCCATGCAGATCAGTTTCTGCTTGTTCCATCCTTGCTCAATCTCACTAAATGCATTGAAAAGCTTTGCTGAGGGCTCCTTACAGGATCCAGAGCAACCCAACAGACCAGGGTTTGACGCCTGCACAGCTGAGGGGGTGCTTCTCTAACTGCAAGATAAATCCATTCCTTTTCCTTCTTCCAGTGCAGGAGTGATTTAAAAACTCCTGGGACCCAAGACCGGTCCCAAACCACTTCACTGAATAATTCAGAGCAAGAGCTAGAAACTGATGCTGAACTATTGCCTTTGGGCTCCTGAGAGGCCGCTCGCCTGGGCACAGCCTGGTGTTGTCACCACTGATCCAGAGCCACAAACAGTGGGGCAGTGCCCATCATCACCCATGGTTGATGTCTTTTTCTTCATCTCCTTTCCCATCCGGCCTCGTGGGTTCACTGAGGGTGCAGGAGACAAGGGAGCAGGAGGGATGGGTGGTGTTTATCAGTGGTAGCTGTTAAATCTGAAGGGTGGGGGGAATGAAACCGGAGGTTATGGAGCTAATCGGTCACTGCAAGAATAAACTTCAGATTCCAGCAGTCAGCAAGAAAGTTTCCATCAGCAGCAATGCCAACTGTTCAGGTGGAGAGCGTAAAGCGCTGCAGAAGTGAATGATAAAAGAATTGCTTGAATACATTCAGAGCCCATTGTTCGGGAAAAGAAAGCAGTAAAGAAAAGGAAAATAGGGCTCCTCAAAGTAATGAGTGGAGCAGATGAGGGAGAACAAAGGCCCGGCAGCTCCCGTATCCAGTTAATTTGTTCCTATCTCATTGAGGAGAATGAGAAGCAGGCGAGGCAGCACCGGGGTGGTTTGAGGCTGTGGGAAGGGAAGGGAAGGGAAGGGTGCTGTTATTAAAGCTTAGATAAATAACCCAGCAGGCAGGAGCTGGGGCTGATAAAGCAGATCTGGCTCCAGGAGTGGAGTTTGGTGTGTGGGCACTTCCAGAGGGGTTCAGCATCTTCAGTGCCTGGATACCTGCAGCATTCCCAGCACCTCCAGCAGCCCTGGCCAGGGATCACTCACCCTCTTATGTGGATGCTACAGGGCTGGCCCATAGCCTCCCCTGGCACACTGGATACTGTTCTGGGCTGTGCTTATTTCCAATTACAATTCAGTTTATCCCAATTAAATGCCACTTATTCTTCACTGTGGTTATCCAGTCCGATACTCTTAATTAGTTTGTAAAGTATTAGAAGTCAATTTTAATTATTTCCAGTAGGTTTCAGGGAAATCTCAATTAGGTGCCTTGTGGTTTAGCTCCAAGCTCCAGCTCTTCCTTCACCTCCCTGAGCATCGTTTCCTTCCCCACACCTCCCTTTGTGCACTGGCAGAGCCCATCCTATGCCATGGGGGTCCAGCAGCTGGAGCCACAGGGATCTAGTGGGAAGCCTGGGAAGCATGGCAGAGGTTAGGGGGGCCACACAAAGCAAACCTGACTGGACCAGGACACCCATATCCTGGGGCAGGGTCTGAGGGGAGCATCCTACAGCTCCCACCAGCTACCTGGGAAGCCTCTGATGCTGATGTTATCACAGCCACATGGTGCCTGTGTTTTGGTAATTGCTTCATTTTGCATGGAATTTAATTACAGGAATCCCCATGGGGAAATCACTGCACGGTTCAATTTCATGTGGCTCCGTTGCATCGCAGCAAAGGCATTGCTGGGGAACGAGCATCCTCCTCCTTTGGGCAGCCCCAAGCAGTCACATCCTGCTGCTGAGAGGTGACAAGTGTTGGTCCAGAGCGCCGAGCAGGCAGCATGCTGTGGGGATTGCAAGCAGATGCTCTTTGAGGGCCCTTCCAACCCAAACCATACGTGACCCTGGCAGCCAGAGAGGGACTCTCCTGGGTCCCAAACCCCTTCATATCCACTTCTTCACTCCATGCAGAGCTGAGGCTGAACTGATGAGCCCCGGCTCCTTCTCGGCATGAGCGGCACCAGCTAAAATGAATTTCATGCTTTAATCCTGCTTTTAAACCCCAGCTTGCCGAAACAAGGAGCAGCACATTAGGAACCTCGCCGCCTCGGATGCTGATGAGCAGCTGCTTGGCACTCGCGCCTCTTCGCGCACGGGTAAATGCTCTTGGAGGGCTGGGAAAGCTGAGCAGCAGAATCCCCCCTTTAGGGTAACGAAATCACAACACCAAAACAAAGATAAAGCAATTCTGAGCTCCGAGTGAAGATGAATCCTCCTTTCTGCTCATTATAAAGTACCTATTATCTCCCTTTATCTCCTAGCCAGCAGTGTTATTTCAATTTAACAGTGTATGAGAAATGCAAGGAAATATAATAAAAGAGCCATGGCTGCACTATTTAATGTCAGAATGACAGATGCTTCAATTAGGCAGACAGGGCTATTTCTCCCCAAAATAGATAAAGATGAAATTTTGATAAGATTGCTCTGTTTGTGTTTATGATACAGCACAGTTACAAGCTTTCATTACAATATAAATTAAAGCAAAAGCTCCTGTTTCAGTGGAAACCCAAATGGATTCACCAGGAACTTTGCAAAAGCCCTACACCAGGAATTTCTGATGGTCCCACCTTTATAGCACCGTTAAAACCCAAGGTATATTTGTACAGTAACTGGGTCCAGGAATAGTCAACAGCAAAGTTATATCTGTGTTTACCCTGGAATTATATATGTATAGTTTGAATTATGCATGAATTAAGTCAACACAGCAACACAATGAATACACTGGCTTGAGGTATGGAAAGGGAGATTGGCCATGCCATGGGACCCAATGGACCAGTACCACCAGTGCCAGACCCGAACTGGGCACAGGGCTTCATTGCACCTCCACACTGGTGCTTTGCTGTTGAGTTTATTTATGGCTTGAGCCTGGTGTTCATTGTTTCCATCTCATATGTTTTAGTCATTTAGCATGTGTCTGATTTGTCACATAGTGCTGAGGATGTTTTGGTAACTAAGCGCCATAGACATTATTTATTATTATATTTCAGCCAAAACAAGCATTACTCTAATTTAT